AAACTGTTTCATAGCACGTAACGGGGAATCATGAATACTCAATATACATTGAATTAATTTACAATTTAGGCAGCGAATAATGTTACGTTTTCCCACACTGATCTCTTTCCGCGGGGCGTCGCTCAACCCAATTTTACCCTCAGACTTTGACCCCCAGCACGTAAGTGATTTATGAAGAGAATAGGGGCAAATGGGGGTCTTTCCCCAAGAAACGCTTTATATATTTGATGCTCAATGACTGCATTTCAGACATGTTCCTAAGCATGGAACTTGGTATAGGTGCACATTCGTGTATTAAGAACTGCACATTTGGTGTAAAACTGCACGTTAAGAAACCGTGGTTAGGAAATTATCTAGCCGGTCTAGCAGGCGATTTCACAGGAGATTCACCCCCCGGTGTCACAGGAGATTGCCCCCCCCCCCAGGAGCGATATTCCTAGGATATTCGCGCCCCGGGGCGAATCTCCTAGGAATATCGCCCACCAGGGGGGCGAATCTCCTAGGAATATCGCCCCCCTTTAGGAATTTCGCCCCCCCCCCAAATAAATTTTGAATTTTTGATCTAAAAACAAAACGATTGCAAGTTGAAAAGATTTATTGTGTTATTTATTTATTACAAGGAGACAAAATTACATACACATTATAGGCTTCTTAGCAGCTGGTGGTGTGCACAGTCAGCATAACCACTTATTTGAGGTACTTAGACTAGTGTCATATTATTCAAATGAAATTAATTATACTTTAATAATAATATAATAATAATATTAATTAACTAAGTTAATTAACGAACTAATTATTCAACATTATCTTAATATTATTATTAATTTTTATAAAATGTCCAATTAATATTAATATTAATATTTATTTATTGATTATTCCATTTGTTTTTTCAAAATTCCGATGTTGGAAAAAAGAAAATGAAATTTTTTTCAAAATTCCGAGGTTGGAAAAAAAAAATGAAAATTTTTTCAAAATCCGAGGTTGGAAAAAAAATGAAAATTTTTTCAAAATTCCGAGGTTGGAAAAAAAAATGAATTTTTTTTCAAAATTCCGAGGTTGGAAAAGAAAATGAAAACTTTTTCAAAATTCCGAGGTTGGAAAAAAAAATGATTTTTTTTTCAAAATTCCGAGGTTGGAAAAGAAAATGAAAACTTTTTCAAAATTCCGAGGTTGGAAAAAAAAATGAAAATTTTTTCAAAATTCCGAGGTTGGAAAAAAAAATGAAAATTTTTTCAAAATTCCGAGATTGGAAAAAAAAAATGAAATTTTTTTCAAAATTCAGAGGTTGGAAAAAAAAATGAAAATTTTTTCAAAATTCCGAGGTTGGAAAAAAAAATGAAAATTTTTTCAAATTTACGAGGTTGGAACAAAAAAATGAAAATTATTTCAAAA